ATCACCCTGTATATTTTTTCTGTGTATATTACTACCTGTCCTTGTTCATTATTGATTGGTTTTCTATCTAACTTCACACTGAAACAACACGACCAACCTCAAATATTTATAATTTATTGTCACATGTCATTGGCTTAATAAATGTCAAAGTTGAATATCCCTCCTTCTGGGAAGTGCAAAATTTACTTAAATTTTAATTATAATTAGTTGTTATTATCCTGTGCACGTCAACAATCCGTATCAAGAAATTCCGTCGTGTTTCTAGTGTGGAAATCCAAATTTACACCCAGGAGCAAATAGTTAAAAATACAATGGGGACATACTGCATTACATTAACCTGGATGGTAAACAAGTAAATATAAACAGGAACAGAAGCTGTTGAATGTGGGCGTACCTTGTAAATCCCTTTAAATTAATAAATAAAGGTGGATAATTGCAATGGCACATTCTATAAATGGTGATACGGTTTCTGAATGTTCAGAAGCCAGCACCTTGATTGATGGATCTGTGATCTCAACTGTTCCAGACAGACATGGTTTCTTAGGTACGTATCATGTCATGCATTTTATTGCAATCACAATTCGAATGGCTTCATGTATTAACAACAAAAACCATTTTTACTTTAAAAAAACAGACACAAAATTTAATATTTCCAATAAAGTTGTCCGAAATTTACCTAAGCTGTTTGCTGTGGCAAATGATCTATCATTAGCATTTTACTACTGTCCTTGGTAAGGCTGGGACACCGACATTTAAGTGGAGCGGATACAATGTCTTAGAAAATCCAATTTATTCATTTCGTCAATAGTCAAAAGCAGCATACCTATTGGATTGCACTAGGACAACTGACTTGCCAAACAAGTTGTCTTTTTTGTCCTGAACAATGCTATTTGCACACAGATTCTCTAATAAACATGAATTTCTTTATTTACTTAACATAATCTACGCACTTACACGCGTTACACGCGTTTGCATTTGAATAAATTGGGTATGTATTTTCTAGGTGGAACTCAATACTCTCCTGAACCCAGACAAGGACCTCCTCCAGAAACTGTTTTGAGACGAGAGAGAAAATGGCTCAAAATGTTATCTACATGGCCATTTTACATGCAGAGGAATTATAGAAAAATTAAGGAAAGATGTAGGAAAGGTAAGTCAGTATGATAAAGCCATATATCCTTTAGCCCACAGTATTCCAAACTTTTTCTATAATGAAACACTTCGAAAACCCAGAAATGTTAACGGAACAATTACAGTCTAATCAATCCTTCTTTAACGTTAAGTCACAAAACGTGAGCTCAGACAGCAAATGAGGGACGTCTGTAATTAAATCGCGTGTATTTCTATCAACCAGGTACAGTTGATTAAATATTATAGTAGAAAAATTAATTTTTTTAAATAACACCTACATACTTTTTTGATCGTTTGAACATTTTGCTATTATTGAACAATAAACTAAACAGTACCAAAAAAGTAAGAAGGTGCCATTTAAAAAAAAATATTATTTTACTTTTGCATGTCAATGTTTGTGGGTTGCACCCATAGGTATGCCACAAAATGGGTACCCTAATGTCACCTGAGCTTGAGCTTTCAGCTAACTACCTACCAAATTTGGGTTTTGAATTTAGAATCGTTCCTTAGATATATATGACTTGTTCCGTAAACATCTGTAATGGCATTTTTTTCTTAAACAAGTTACAGGGTGATTACAATCTTATGGATACAGAGCAGGGGCGTGTAGAGGACAAGCCGAGTTTCCATTTAAGTTTTTTTCTCAGGCCCATGGTTAATGAAATACAGGGTGTAAAAGTTTCAGAAAAATGTCGGTATTTTATGTTTAGCTCCTCCAGTTTGAGAGATATTTTGCTCAAATTTTCAACGTAGGCTAATGTTTAGAATCTTTACCCGTAGGTAAGGCGACTGGTTGTGAAAGTCTACTGGGTGTTTGTTTTTTCTAGGGGCATACCCCCTTTTACCCCCCCCCCC